ATACGATTCATATCAGATTTAATTCCACATGTGGATGAGGCCTGAAACTGATCTGAGAATATCGAAATGCTTCCTGCTCACAGGTTGATGGGTCATATTTGAACTGTAAGTGAGGATAGGAGCAGGCATATACTTATAAACTTTAAGAGTGCTGGCCTGGATGATTAAAATACGAAAAATAGGAGAGAGGCCGCACTATGCATATGTTCTTTATGTTTTATTTGCACAGACGCGTTTCAGTGAAGGCACGCACCAAAACAAATAAACGCGTCTGTGCAAATAAAATAAAAGAACAAATGCATAGTGCGGCCTCTGTCCTGAAAACCTGGCACAGTTTTCATATCTGAACTGTGCCACAGGGGAAGAAATAATTGGAATTGGGTCACATGAACCTTGTAATGTAAATACAGCCTAATGCCAGGTTCAAAACAATGGTTGTACTAGCTTAATGCTAATTCCAGTCCTCACTGAGTTCCTGAAGCACCTCCGCTGTCGTTCGCCAGCATTTATCTTTTTTCACTCTGTCATGGTAGTCCCTCGAGGAAACATGATAACGGGAGGAGTATTGTTGGCATAGCTCCACGATCCTTTCCTCTATTGCATAATTCCAGCTAGCATCACCAATACCTCGTTTCGCCATGTTTGAAAGCTGTGTACGGAAGAGCTTCTGTGCTCCTATTGGTCAACGTCACTGAACTCGTTGTGGAGGACCGAAGCAACATTAAACATGCTAGTCTTTCTGTCGTGACATCATGAAGCATCACAGATGCGGCGTCGGTTGTAAGAGATGAAACGTTTGATTTCTGCGTCCACCTTACGTCAAACAGATCATGCAGTCTGAACCCGGCATAAGTGATATCCAAGCATTTTGGCCAAATGCTTACCTTTGAGTGACTGGATCATATATTTATACATTATATTTATGCATTTGGGAGATGCTTTTATCCAAAGCGACTTACATTGCATTTCAAGGTACACATTTACATTCTTATCAGTTTTTGCTTTCCCTGGGAATCGAACCCATGACCTTGGCGTTGCAAGCGCCAGTGCTCTACTGTTTGAGCTACAGGAAAGCCAATGCTGGTCATCTCCAAGACATGTTGGATTGCGATTACACCTGTAGCTGCCACTGTTCACTAGTAATCGGACCACCTGAGAGGATTGTTGATACCAGATGTGAATGCGCTCATCCTTGCATGATGCTCTGCGTTTCCATCTGTTTTCATAATCAGGGAATACTCGGTATAACTCTGCAGCGCATATGCTTTAGCAATACCAAAAGCAAGTGTAATGAATATTTGTACGCTGCTGCTGAACTGCCAAACAGCTGCTTTTGCATCTGTTTCTCCATGCCGTCATCACCTTTCCTTCCAACTTGGTAAAATATTGAAAGAAATGAAAATGAGAGACAAGAATGATGGCATACCTTCCTTACACCAACCTATTTTCCAATAGGGAAAATAAAATCAGACTTTGATTCACTACTGCTCAGAGAAGATCAATACAGGGACTTTCTGTGCTATGGTCACAATACTTTTGGCATCAATGCAAACAAGATAATTTTTCAGACTCTGTAACCTAATTAACTGTGATTGATGCAATAGCGTAATGACTGAATGTCATTTCAAACTAAGACTTTCATCCGTGGAACACAATGAGAGAAAACAATTTGCATTTTCATTGACTGAGAAATTGATGGATCGCTTTTAAGTTTTACTCTTTAAGATTTCAGGGTTACTTTAGGTTATTAAATTCTAGCTCACGTCTCAATCTAAACTAATGACTAGGCTATGACCACTTAAAATTGAAGTAGTTTAATAGTAGACTATTTAATGTTGATTTAATATGGTTCTGTTTCTTTGTTTAAATTATGAAGTGTTCACAAAATATTTATCTCTCAAAAGCATTGTCATTCTTCACAAAAGGCGTTTAATATGGACATATTGATAAGACATAGGAAGTCAAACACATTTGTTTCCTACTGATGATAAACCATTGCCATTTACACTCCATGAGCTCTCTACTGCTGATTTTTTTAAACCGGATATACAGTAACATCCTAACCACACCCAGACAGTAAGGGATGTCAATTTACAGGAATATTAAAAATCGATTTTCATTCAAATTAACGATCAATCAATCTTATAATCTTAAACGTTAATACTGCAAAGCGCTGGTGGAGCTCTCCAATATAGTAGCAACTCCACGCTAAAGCAGTGGCTGCGATGGTACATGCATCCTTACCGAACCGAACTTTAAAAGCGAAAGTGAAAAGATGCCTAACCCAATGTTAGCGGTAATACCGGTGTTGTCGCAAGTTTATATACCAGTGTGAAAACGTCCTCCTTGTGACATCCTTAATTTGGATAAAGCTTTTCTAGCACATGCCAAGCTATGGTGCATGTGCCGAATCCCTCTGTATAGGAAACCTACTGAAGAAAACTACCAATTGGCACTGGAATAATTTGAGAACAGCAGCATGCATGTTTCCAACATTTTATTCTGCAAATATGCCTCTGTTATGTAGAGCATTCGCAGATTATACTGATTGGATGCTGTTGCTCTAGAGTGAATATAGAGCCCTTATTATTCACCTGCTGTACAGATGACCTGCTTTTGTGTCTTCATCATTCCAGGTCATGTTCTCAATTAGTCAAGTCACCTTCATTTGTATAGCGCTTTTAAAAATATAGATTGTTTCAAAGCAGCTTTACAGTGATAATAGGATATAACAGTAACACATTGTTTTGGCTTTGCAGCAGCTCTAGAGTTAAGTTATTGTCCAGCTAAAGTTAGTTTTGATTGATTCACTTCCGTTGCAAAGATCATTATCTTTATCTGCGCAAACCTCAAAAACGTAAACTCGCGGAAATCATGCGCATGACGTGTCTATAGGTATGCGCGTTTGAATATGTGTGCAGGCGTGTAGTCCTTCTTTACAAACCAACCCTCAACAAACTACTTGTCTGGCCTTCAAAATTTATAATAAAGAATTATCTATCGCTTCCGTGTAGCCATGTGAACCGGAATTATCCTGACAACGTTTTATCTGTACAGAGGTAAAGGAAAGGGAAGGAGGCCTTCACAGGGGAGAGACTAGTTGACACTTCAGGACTGCGTTATCACCGTGTACAGGCGCAGGTCCTTCATCAGATCTGGATACGGCCTGGATCCGGCGGACTGCGGTAAACCTCGGGATAAACAGAGAGACTAAGGGTGTATTCACACCAGGAAAGTCCGATAGTTCACTTGCTTTGGTCCGGACCAACTAAATAAATGTTTTTTTTTTTTGGTACGGTTCGCTTTCACACTGCTCTTTTTGCAAGTGAACCAAAATTTGTAAACAAAACCACACGTGTGCTAAGGTCGTCCATTCATTGGACAAGGATTCTCAAGTAGGGAAATCAGGAAGTGCAAAAAAGGCTCAGCATGGAGATATTTCGTACTGCAATATTTGTTCTTTTACTAATTTTGTGTTATTCTGTACAAACACAATATGAAGAAACTGCGCAGAAGACGGATAAGGTATAAAGTTTTTTATTCATAGAGAGGGGCTATGGTCACACATTCAAATAATGAGATTCTTATTGTATATACTGCTAACAAGTGCTGTCAATGTTAACGCTTGCAAATAAGTTTGTCCAGTTTAACGCAGCATCATCCTTGTATTGTAACTATCGTTACATTATATGAACTGCAAAAGCTTTTTTTGCATCTATGCGCGATTAGACTAAAGAGAACGCGCTGTATGTGAATGTCCTGATGCACACACTCATTCATTCATTCCATTCCAATGATGCACACACACGACGCGCAGAAAGACGCGCAACAGTATCGTGTGGCCAGACAGCGCGCCGGAATTCTCTTTCGCACTTGAACAACAATAACACAAACCATTATGCCAAAATCTCCGACTACGGAAGCCTGTTAACTCAAAGGCGCAGTGCTTTCTTGCAATTGGGTCGGTTCATGTTCACACCGTAAACGAACCGTACCAGAGTTCGTTTGGAACCGTATTGAGACCACCTCTTCAGCTGGGTCTCGGATCGGTTGTTTGGTCCGCACCCGAGTTCGATTGCTGTATTCACACCTGCCCAAAAGGTCCGCACCAAGGGGGGAAACGAACTAGAGTTCGATTCAATCGAACCAAACAAGGCAGGTGTGAATACACCCTAATATTAACGTAGACGCCATCCTTCTTATGATGTAACAAGTACATCAGGATTTATGGGAAGTGTTCCCGGTTCCGGCTGACCTAATCTATGCAGCCTAACATTGAATTATAGAAGTCTATATAACGTGTTATGTGCATGCTAGGCCAAAGAGATGTGTTTTTAGTCTTGATTTGAACTGAGAGAGTGTGTCTGCTTCTTGGACAATGTTAGGAAGACTGTTCCAAATTTTTGGTGCTAAATAGGAAAAGGATCTCCCGCCACAATTATTTTTGCAAAGTAAATACAAGACAAGAAAAATAAATTGTCCAAACAAACAAATGTATCTAAAAATATACATCATGTATGTTCGCTAATTACCATAAAACTATTTAGTAATTAATTATTAAAGGCAATATATATATATATATATATATATATATATATATATATATAAATGAATAATAAAATTAAAAATTAAAATGATTTTATTTTTTGAAATATTATTCTTATCAGGCTTGTATATGAATAAATATAAGAAAATGTCAGTAATGTGCTGCAAAAATAAGACCGAAATAGAAGAATGCATTAAATAGTTTTTTTTTGTACACGTAGCTCATTTAGGTTAATATTTTTACTCCAAATGTCTTCGTATTAATGAAATCTAATTCAAGGAGTGTTATATTCAAATTGTAGCATGCATATCTTAAAATATAATTCAGTTTTTGTCTCGGATCCCTGTGTTTAGAGGATAATGTAAGTAAAAAGTGGCACAGCTTTACCCCACTGACTGCTTCCCCAAAATAATATTTGACATACTTTAAGCTTGCTTGCTCTCTGTTTCCCCAGCTTGATAAAACTATCGATATAGACGAGCGGCGTCTGATCCGCACAGCGATTCGGGAGCTGCGGCGCTGTGAGATTGAAGAAATGGAGGCAGCACTAACCAGTAAGCGCTTCAGACGTGCCCACCAGCACAGACATGAGGATAAAGAAAACCAGTGCTGGTATGAAGAGATTTTTTTAATATAATCTGAAATGCAAAAATATGTTGTATAAAATGCAATGAAAATTACATTTTGAATCTGAACTTGTTTGCTTGTATTTGCAGTCCTGCTGATTTGACAGCTTCTTTAGACATGCTATCGGGGAAGATTCAGGCTATACATGACATTGAAGAACTTACTGGACTGGTAAGGACATGTGTAAAGACATAAAACGTTTGTTGATGATTCTCTTGTGTTGTTCCTGTCAACATTCTGGGGTTTTCTGGAGATGGTTGATAAGTGTTTTTGCCCTGGATGGAATGTTCTTTTGAGTTTAAGTTTAAAACTTTAAGTTCTTTGTTAGTGTAAAACAAAAGGCTGCAATGAGCCCAATCCAAAAGAAGTCCCATAGTTTTAGGTTAAAGTTTTGTATAAAATGTATATTGTTCCTAATGAAAGCAATGAATGGAAATTGACTAAAGGATACATTCTGTGAATCTGTGAACGCTGTCAAAGAACACATGCAAATTGCATACAGTTCTCTGTATAATGGGGTGTTTTCAGTGAAATGTAAATGTACTCTTACTTTCAGTAATGCCCCAATGAGATGCTGGCCTCAAGTTCCAAGAGGTCCGGTCTCTATTAGAGCTTTTTTTAAATTAATTAATTAATTAATTAATTTATTTATAAAGGGACCATGCACAATTTTTAACATAAAATTTCCATTTCATGTATTGAACCGGATTTAGCCATCCGACTACGGATTCATCCAAAGTCCCCTGTGATTGTGATCTTTCTATTTCAAACACCCACTTGATCTCATTCATAAATAACAACGATTCGCCTGTGTCTAGTAAAACTAGGGCTGCCCTCGACTAAAGATTTTTCTAATCGACTAGTAGTCGTTCATTTAAGCGATTAGTCGACTAATCACTCGTTTATATTAATAAGCCATAAATCATAATAATGAGCAAATATATTACATGGCCTAATCAGCGCTCAAATGCACGCATAAAGTTTGGCACAGCGCACCGGGAAACCTAATTATGAGTGTGTCGTGAAAAAACAGAAGGAGACTGTCTTAACATTTTAATCATTTATTGATAATGTTTTCTGTTTAAGATTAAGTCACGATGCTGACTCGTCATCTCCGCAGCAGCTAGTGGACGCGCCAGCTGCCTATATGCACGTTTCATAAGGATTACATAATCTGAGAATATTTATTTTCCAATTGAATTGGTTTATTTAAAAGTAGACATTTCAAGCTTTCTATAGATATATTTCTCATGTCTGTGAGGCAATTGTACACTGAGTTTCGGTTCGTTTTGTGACGTCACTGAGACCAAGACGGCAGAAAGCGCATCTTGATTGTTTTCATTATTTTACAAAAGCACAATGTTTTGTTGTATTGTGAGTTTACAGAAATAAAAGTAGATCTTTTAGAGTTTGCATTACTCTTATCTGTATGACCAAAAATGACGGAGTGTTTTAAATGCAAGTGATCGCACCGGTGCCTGTATGTCATGCAGTAAGTGCGCTCTCCACACAAACACTTGAATATATACCTAATATTAGTGCAGATTTATCTAGGTTAACATTAGATGGAACAGACTTGTAAAGTTGCTACTACTTACATGTTTCAGGTGATAAGCCATAGTTGAGGTCGATGAATGATTGGTGAATGTTTGGACTTTCTTCCGTTAAATATCTGTCCCAATAAATGATTTAAATATGGTAAATGTGTTAAACACAGCTGAGAGTACTACACTTCATCCAAAACCTTATATTGGGGAATCTGTATGAGACCAGTTGCATTGAATTGTTTGAATTCTGTGGAAATATACCAAGATTTCTGTGGGTGCACATTCTGTGTGGGTCAAAATATCAGTCACGTCAACCTAACTACCGTTTTTGTGTCTTGCCCTCTATTTTTCTTTCTTTCTTTCTTTCAAGTTGCAAAGCACCAGTGAATATGAAGAGAGAAAACTCATTCGGGCAGCCATTCGCCGGCTGAGAGATGAGGAGATACGAGGTGAGATTGCATCTTAAAGGGCTGGAAAAATATCTCTATACATCTGTCTGTGTGTGTGTGTGTGTGTGTGTGTGTGTTTACATTCCCCCGTTCTCATTCATAGGAGCATTAGAGAAGGTTCAGACCGCTGGCCAAAGAACAGAGCGACGACAAAATCCTCAAAGCAGCTTTGACCTACAGGTGAGTAGATGTGGCGTGGTGAATATCAGGAGCAGTAAATCTCAGGGATAACTAGGCTGAAGTTTGTGGCTTAATGTGGAATGAGGAGAGATTAATCTGTAGACGTCCAACTGGGGATTGTTTTGGCCTTTTCAAAAGTTCATGAATTCAATTATAGTGGGAAATAGAGTCAGGGTTAGGATTTTATATATATATATATATATATATATATAGGCATAAAAAAACATTGTAAAGCACCATACATCAATGTTCCCTCTAATTTTTTTTTCTTGCTGAGCAACACTTTTTTTCTATTGGGCGGACATTTTTCGCCACCTGAGCAAAAATATTCTTTATACCTGACCTATACAGCATACGTAGAAACACAATGGTTTCAACATTCAGTTGTAACTTTTAACTTGAATGTGCCATTTCTATTTTATTTGACCCTTGATGTAACTTATAGGTAATCATATTTTCGAAAAACAAGCTTCTTAACAAATCAAGAAGTCACTAAATGAAGCACATTTTAGGTTACCTGATATTTGTTTTACAGTGCTGTTAACTGTACAGTCTTTACCAAGAAATCCTATGAAAAATAATTTACAAAATCTTCTGCAGGACAGTTCAATTATTTACAATAATAGAATATAGTATGAAAGAAAAGTAAGCTGTTACACTGAGATGGTTTGGGAAAACCATAAAGTGTTTTTGTACAGTCAATTAATTGTGTACAGGAAGCATTAAACCGTCAAAGTTAAATGATTGTTTATTGCTTATGAATTTCCAACATTTTCTTTAGCAGGGGGTTTCAAACGTTTTAATGGCAATGAGCCCTAAACAATACCCTTGTGAGATTATTTATTTAGGCTTATAATATAATAAAATATAGGCCTAATAAAATATAAAAAAAAACGAATTGAAGTATTTGAAGTGATATAATATATCAGTTTAAATGCTTAAATTTGTTTACATATTATATTATTATTATAATATGAAAACAAAGCATTTAAATAGATCTAATAGCTAAATATTTTCTAGAAAAGTGAATATAATCTAATCTTTTATAATCTAACCATCCCTGAAACTCCCACACACAAAAACATCTATTTAAACTAATGATGTATTTTGAGTTTGCACGCGGGTGGGTGTGTAATTGTCACCATTCTGTGTCCATCAACTGTTATTTCCACCACTTTAATCAAACCACTCTTCTTTAAAACATGATGATGTGATTTTATTTCACACGTCTTTGCGTTTCTCGTTGCCTCTCGTATTGAGCTATTTGGTCCGCACACACAACTCATGTCAATCACACGCGCTCACATCGTTCTCTTTCTATGAAACCTGTAAACTGCATTCACCAGTTTTCTCTCTATAGCGGTTGACCAGAGCACTACAATTATTTCTCACTTAAACTACAATCAAATGGATTTCCCCACACGTTTCGCGTCAGTCCTCTGCATGGCATTTTATTCTTTTCTGCACGGCCGCCGCTTAGAAGTGCGCGGCCGCGCACGCGCGCAGCTTAGAGGGAACATTGCCATACATATATTTTCGCACTATATTCCAAGACTTTTAAAGTCATTCGATAGCATAATGTGAGGTAAAAATGAATATTTAAGTCGTTAAGTTAAAGTTAATGGAAACTCATCTCTCCTCAGTCACCATCAAACAGCGGGTTGCATTCAGTTACGACAGTAGCACGACGACACTCTCTTCAAGATCAATGTTCCCATTATTATACTTTATTTGTAGATAAAGGTCTATGGTTTGCATAAAATGACTTTATCTTGCTGGAGTTTATTGTGCTTTCTAAATCATATTCCTTTCTCCCGGGTGTCTGTTAGATTACAGCACTGGAGTAGAACACTATGAATTGTTCATGCGCACTGTAACTGAAATTTAAAACTGTTAAAAGAAAAGGCTCAATAAACTGTTGCATAGATAGATATAATCTCTTCTCTTTGTGCTTTGAACTTTTCAATGCGAAGCGCTGCACGCTGTGACTTTGCGTTGCTTCAAGTGCATCATTCTGCGCATAATCGCTTTGCCGCTCTTATTGGAGCTTTTCATATTATAATACTTAGGGGAGGTTTAAACACCTGGGGCAAGGGGGCGTGGCTATGGGAATATCACTCATGGGCCACGCCATCATACTGGCGTGGCCAATGAGTGATATTCCCATGGCCACGCCCCCTTGCCCCAGGTGTTTAAACCTCCCCTAAGTATTCTATATATATATATATATATAATTTGAATTTTTTTGATATAATTCACAAAAATCCAAGTACATATATTGAAATGTTTTTAATGAGCGTAATAGCATATCACTGTGCACTTCTTTAATGACATCTCAAACTCAAATAAATGCACCTTTATTATAAGTTTGTTTAAAGAGGAGCTGTTATGCTTTTTTACATGTTTATCTTCTTTAGTGTGTAATGTTGCTGTTTCTGAAATCCCTGAAACGCCTCCATTGTGTTCTTGAGTTTCTTCCGGGAACAAATGCGTCACAATATTCCTCATTTAAATAATTCATACGCAGAATAAAGGGGCGGGGCCTGGTTGAGTTAGTTAGTAGTGTGTTAAACTGGCGGTTATGGAAAGGGGCGGGACATTTCCCAAACACGCTCGAAGCCCTCGACCAATCACAACACACTGCTTTAGCCGACCAATCAGAGCACAGTGTGCTTTTCAGAAGGAGGGGCTTCATAGAGACAGGAACTAAACAGAGCGTTACTGACAGACTGGGAAGAGAGGAGCCGCAACAATGGAGAATATTTGGGATAGTAATCAACATTCAAAAAACGCATTATTCCATCATTATTAGGTTATTACAAAAACATTGTTACATCATTTTTTTGAATATGCAAATAGGTGCTCTGAATATGTAAGCAACCTTCTATCCTCTCTTTCTTTTTTTTGCTTTCACTTTCTTTTCATTCCAACTTCCCTGGTGACACACACACACACACACACCTTTGTCCTTTAATGACTTTAATGTGTTAACAACAAGATCGCTCCGCCGACTGAAATGTGGAGAATGTGAAAAATGTGCTGCTTCCTTTACCTTAATCTACCCTTGTCCCTCTCCACTCCTCCTTCTCATATTTATTTCATTTCTCTATCCTCAAGTTACTCCTCTCTTTCCATGGCTCTTTCTCAGGCATTATCTCAGCGATACTTTAAAGTAAACATCAGCATGCTTACCTGTGTATCAGTTCATACTTGTCTGCAATATTACCCATATCCAACTGAATGCCTAGTACGCTTACTGAAAATAACAGGCAACCAAATGTGACGTGTTTTAGCAAGTGGAAAGAAAGACACATCTGTATAAGGATCTTCACTGTTATTGGGTATCATATCTTCATAAGCAGCTTTTCAAAAGCCTCCTATGGTAATATGGCACAGGTTATTGTCATGTCACAGGATATGTAACAATGAGTTTGCCATCAACGTTTGAAATTTAATGCAAAACTTCCCACCCATCTTCTTTCAGCTGCTGCTCAGTTCAATGGCAATACGCAAAGTGTTGCTTAGTGCAAATAATATGCTGTTCGCAAGAGTCTTTTTACTCCGATCAATATGACCCTTTAATCTAATGTTCTTGTTGTACAAGGCCCTGCTATTTTTCCATCTGTTGTTCTCACAGCTCTAACAGTTTTTAAATGAAAACAGAAAACAAAAATGTTAGTGTAGATGCAGATATTGTCAATGTTTCTCTGCGTGCCACTATAAACTGAAGTGAAACATAAAATACGCATCTGTGCATCACAATGAGTCAAACTAGCTAATTGGGACCGGTTGTCATTCCCTACACTGTAATGAGTCACAGAAGCAGTAATCACAGTCTTGATTATTTATTCAATTAATTGTGCAGCTCTAAAACCTGTTTGACTCTCTTTATGTGGAACTCAAACAGCGGTGTGTGTTCACGCTGCGCCTTTTATTGTAATGAAAGTGGAGAAATAAAGCAAAAGTACATATCAGAATCATCATAGAAGTAGTCCATGCACTGTATTCTAGAGGGCCGTTCACGTCGTGTATTCATTACGAGGAAGATTTAGCAAAGGATAAAAGCTCTGCTACTAGATTTATTTACGCTGAGCTTTTAATGTTGTGGAAAGGGTGAAGCTGATTGGTTGGTTCTTGTCACATGACCTGCTGATTTTTTTTAAACGAGCGCGTCACAAAGCAAGACCGTTGCTCTCTATTGTGAGCGTCTGATGCGACATGTGAATGCCCCCCAAGTCTTCTGTAGATAAACAATGGCTGTGTCCGAAATCTCTCACTACTCACTATATAGTGGACTATATAGTGAGCTCGCCATTTTGTAGTGCTGTCCGAATGTATAGTGAAGATTATTATACCCTATATAGTCCACTCAATGTATCCCAGAATGCATTTTGAAAAGTAGTGTACAACCGATGGTCACTAACCCAAGCCCTACATACCATCATGCATTGCGCTGATCGTAAAAATGGCGGATGGACGTCAAAGAGAGCAGCGCGACAATACGAATTTGTCATACAAATCTAAGTTATGTTCTTTCTCGTTTAACTTATGATATGTAGTAGTTCTACAATTTCGTCGTTTTCTGTGTCTAGAAATCCTGTTTCTTTTGCTAATCCGCAAAATCTTCTGAATCACGAGAACAAACAAAAAAGATAAATATTGAGTGGCATCTCAGAGTCTAAAAGCTGTTTTATTAAGAGTATTATGAGCAAGATATTTGATAACATACCGTAGATCTGTTTTTTTTCCCCCTGATGTCGAAAGGCAAGAGAAAACGGTGTGGCGCGAAAATGAAAATATAATAAATATGTGTATTAATTTTATTTATGTTTATAAGTTATAATCATGTGTGGAGTAACGCATTATAACAGAAACGGCCAGAAATGACTTTTAATTTTACAATTTTGGAGAAATAAGCTCAATATAATGTAATGTATTTAGCCCAGAGCTGGCTCGGCACCAGCTGACAGATCATGGCGCGTTTAAACAGTGCGACAGTA